TATCCCTACATCTTTTTACCCTTAAAAAAAATTTATCATCACATAACTCCAATAAGAATAATTCTTTCCATCCAACCTCACACTCACAAACTAAAGCGAATCGTCTCTTTCAGTAGCCATAATAAAAAAAATAAGAAAAATCAGATCGTAAAAGAAAGGAAAACGAAATACAAGATTGCAAAAATTGAATAAAAACCCTCTCGAAATAGTCTCTTTCAGTTGGATCCGCGAAACCTCTGTTTGAGATTAAGCATCGTCCCATGAAACTTAGCTCTTATAACATGTTAAACAATTCAAAGAAATAAAGAAAAAGAAGAGGAGGTTAGGGTTTCATTGATTTTGCATAATGCAATTGAATACAAAAAGATAATTTAACCTAAATACAAAGAGACTATATATAGGCTAAACAAAAAAAAAAAATTGAAAAGACTATTCTACCATTAATAAACAATAAAACAAAATAATCATATATTTCTTAACAAATCTATGTATAATATATTGTTTATGGCATGAACTTCGTCCTCGTGTTGAAATAAATTTGACACCAACATTATGTGTCACCAAAGATACTCCAAAAGAACAAGCAAGATGAATAATTCAAAAGCAATGTGCTCGTTTCAAGTATAGCTACCTCGGTTTTGGTAGCGCAACCCGAATTTTACACCCTATGTACAAGGGTTTTGACAAAAAGAAAACGGCCATAGTCAATATGGAGCCTAAAAGTGTAAACAAGCTAAGTTGATTTGTAATATTTTAAATTGGTTTTAAACTTAGTGCATTATATCATTTGTCGATTTTAGTGGTGTCAAATGGGCTAAGTTGGCCTATCCAATTATGTCCGGGAACAGATAGCCTATAGTTGCAAGTCGTATCAAGTTTGTCCCGTTCAAATTTTTTACTGTTTTTTCAATATATTCATATAAGCAATCAAGTAAATATTTAACCTCAAAATTAAAAATGTAACTACAACCAATTAAGAGGTTGTTAGCTTATAACTTATAAGCACGTCATTTCCAAACTCAACTTCAACTTATAATTAACAAGGGGTTATGCTACATGTACATAATCTTTTACACCTCACTCA